TCGGCTCCAGTTGTGAGGCTGAGATCTACGCCGGGGCCATGGCTGCACAGGAGCTTCGCTGGCTCACCTACCTGCTGACTGACCTTGGAGAGCCGCCTCGTTCTCCTCCAGTGCTGTACGTAGACAACAAGGCCATGCTGGCCTTGTGTCGAGAGCAGCGCTTGGAGCACAGAACGAAGCACATTGCTCTCCGCTACTTCCTTGCTCGTGAGCTGCAGCAGCGTGGTCAGTTGCGACTTGCGTACGTGGCCTCTGAGGCCAACACTGCTGATGTGTTCACCAAGGCACTCGCGCCTTGTGACCATCAGCGCTTTTGCACCCAGCTGGGTCTTGTGCCTGTCTTGCCTCACTTGCTCTCCTCTTGACTTCACTTGTACTGTGACATATATATATACCTGCTCTTGCTTGTCTAGTTTTATATATATGTCTGTACTCCTGCATGTGAACTGGCCTCTGGCCCTGCTCTTGTGCTCGGACTGTGTGGTGACTTTGTGATCCACCCTGAGCTTGCTTTGCTTTGCTTGACTGGTCTTGTGACCCCTTGTTCTCCCCCACTTTGCCTATGGGGGTGTGTCAAACATTATATATGTTATGCTTGTGTAGGCTACAGTGGGTTAGCCTATAGGGGGTACACAATTCTAGGGTTTCCTACTTGTACTCATTTCACTGCTAGTTCATTCATTCCTGTTCGCTTATTCTCACACTATTACCTAGCCATAGGAACTGGTTTCATCTCGTTAGCACAACTACGCAGCACGTGGCGCATGTTTGTGCGTTTGCTGGCCCGAATTTGTGCAAGGATAGGTCTGTGCGCAGCATGTCACTGCGCCTACGTCTAGATGCCTTTTTTACCACTATTTCTTCACACAGTGCTCTACTACATCCTATTACCTAGCCATTGGAACTGGTTTGACCTCGTTTGCACAACTACGCAGCACGTGGCGCTTGTTTGTGCGTTTGCTGGCCTGAATCTGTGCAAGGATAGGCCTGCGCGCAACATGTCACTGTGCCGACGTCTGGATGCCTTTTTTACCACAATTTCTTCAAACAGTACTCTACTACATCCTATTACCTAGCCATAGGAGCTGGTTTGACCTCGTTCGCACAACTACGCAGCACGTGGCGCTTGTTTGTGCGTTTGCTGGCCTGAATCTGTGCAAGGGTAGGCCTGTGCGCAACATGTCACTGCGCCGACGTCTGGATGCCTTTTTTACCCCTGTTGCTTCACACAATTCTCTACTACATCCTATGACATAGCCATAGGAACTGATTTCATATCGTTAGCACAACTACGCGGCTCGTGGTGCATGTTTGTGCGTTCGCTGGCCTGAATCTGTGCTAGGATAGGTCTGTGCGCAACATGTCACTGCGCCAACGTCTGGATGCCTTTTTTACCACTATTTCTTCACACAATACTCTACTACATCCTATTACCTAACCATAGGAACAGGTTTGACCTCGTTCGCAAAACTAGGCAGCACGTGGCGCTTGTTTGTGCGTTTGCTGGCCTGAATCTGTGCAAGGATAGGCCTGCGCGCAACATGCCACTATGCCGACGTTTGGATGCCTTTTTTACCACTATTTCGTCATACAATACTCTACTGCATCCTATTACCTAGCCATAGGAACTGGTTTGACCTCGTTCGCACAACTAGGCAGCACGTGGCGCTTGTTTGACGTTTGCTGGCCTGAATCTGTGCAAGGATAGGCCTGCGCGCAACATGCCACTGCGCCGACGTCTGGATGCCTTTTTTACCACTATTTCTTCACACAGTACTCTACTACATCCTTTTACCTAGCCATAGGAACTGGTTTGACCTCGTTCGCACAACTACGTTGAACGTGGCGCTTGTTTGTGCGTTTGCTGGCCTGAATCTGTGCAAGGATAGGCCTGCGCGCAACATGCCACTGCGCCGACGTCTGTATGCCTTTTTTACCACTATTTCTTCACACAGTACTCTACTACATCCTATTACCTAGCCATAGGAACTGTTTTGACCTCGTTCACACAACTACGTTGCACGTGGCGCTTGTTTGTGCGTTTGCTGGCCTGAATCTGTGCAAGGATAGGCCTGACCGCAAAATGTCACTGCGCCAACGTCTGAATGCCTTCTTTACCACTATTTGTTCACACTGTTCTCTACTACATCCTATTACCTAGCCATAGGAACTGATTTCATCTCGTTAGCACAACTACGCAGCTCGTGATGCATGTTTGTGCGTTTGCTCGCCTAAATCTGTGCAAGGATAGGCATGTGCGCAACATGTCGCTGCGCCAACGTCTGGATACTTTTTTTACCACTATTTCTTCACACAGTTCTCTAATACATCCTATTACCTAGCCGTAGGAACTGATTTCATCTCGTTAGCACAACTACGCAGCTCGTGATGCATGTTTGTGCGTTTGCTCGCCTAAATCTGTGCAAGGATAGGCCTGTGGGCAACATGTCACTTCGCCAACGTCTGAATGCCTTTTTTACCACTATTTCTTCACACAGTTCTCTACTACATCCTATTCCCTAGCCATAGGAACTGATTCATCTCGTTAGCACAACAGCCGACGGATGCACAACGGTGCAAGTCGGGCCAATCGTTTGCGCGCACCTGTGAGCGTGTGCACTGCTGCCATCTACGGGTGCAACGCTGGACAGCTGCTATACTACAGCGTTAGACGCCGTCGACCTGCTGTATTGGCAGGCCGCCTTTATGCAGTGCTGGCGCGGCTCCTCTACGCAACGCTGGCAGGCGATCGATCATGCTGTGCTGGCGGTCGACCAGGCTAGCTCCAGAGTTGATAGGTGCCTGATGTAGTCTTTTTTGTCATTGCTTCTTAGTGAAACTCTTGCGGATTTCTCCCGTGAATGTGCAAGCGCTAAGGAACTAAGCAAAGCTACGATCACTTATATATATGTACGCATATTAATGAGCAATTATTAGATTCAACGTTTGCATATGTATGGCAATTATGTTTACCAAGGCTTACATACATATATAAATATATATACATATATATATTTGAGAATCCGGACACAAACAGTCATTTGCCCTGGACTGTCTCGGCTGTTTGCTGCTTGTTGCCCGAATTCGTGCTTATTTGTGACTACTTGTGTTGGAGTTTTTACCGAAGCGATTCTGGCGTTTGTCAAAGAAACACTGTAAACGAGTGGGACTTTGTTGGAAGAAGAATATGGCCTTCTTTATCTACAGCTCAGCAATTGTGCAAGAACTGTCGCATTTGTCGCGCTGGCATTTATCCTCGGAAAAAAACGCGGCGCGCAGGGTGCAGTGTGGTGCACCAACGTGGCCAACGCAGATATGGAATTGAGCGCGATTCCGTCGAGGTAATTCTAGCGAATGAATTTCGTCTGTGTCATGTGCTCCAGCGCATTTCTTGCCACGGCAGCCACTTTACCAAAACTCCCTCATCCAACTCGTCCGGGTGATGCGCTGGTGGCAGTGGTGGTTTGTGTGTGAATTTCGTTTGGGGTTCTCGTTATCTCCTGACCGGATTTGGCTTGCATTTTTTTAGAAGTTTGAATGCTCTTTGCAGCTAGTGTTCCTAGCACAGTAGCTGTTTTTTTCGTCTACTTTTTTGTTCTCTCTACCCGCAGCAAGCTCGACTTCGCCCCCCTCATCCCTTTTCAAAGTCACAACCCCAAGACACTCCCGCCCCATACTCATTCTCCACCCCGCTCCTCTTCGTGCCTTTTCTTTTTAGCAGTCCATCTGCCAGTCAATCGTAACTGCCCTGCGTGTGTGTCTGCTCTGCTCGTTTGGCAGTGCACCTACGTCTCTGCGTTACTTGATTATATAGGTAGACTCAGGAACTACTGGCCCCTTCACCCTCTTCACGCGTTTTTTTTTTTCATTGTCTAACCGAACATACTGAGCGACGACTCTCCCTTTCGTATGCGTTCTAGTCTCTCCTCTGAGTATTTGCGCTCTCATTTTCTCTCTCAGCTCGTTTCTCCGCGTGCAGGTGAAGGAGCTGTGCGTGTCAGAACATATCTATAGCTTATACTGCTGTGTAGGCTGTAGTGGGGTATCCCATAGGGGGTACAACCAAGTTAGGGTTTCATATTTGTACTGCTTTCATTCATAGTTCACCCCATTCCTGCTTACTCATTTACACATGGTATAGAGCTAGGTCCCTCCAGGACCGAAATTTTTTTTTTGGGCCCACCGAAGCGCGCCCCCGAGGCGCGATTTTTTTTAGCGACCCCTCGAGTCGCCCTCTCCCCTGCGGCCTCGCCGCCCACTCTGTCGCGGCCCCGCCCTGCTCCTTACGCGGCCCCGCCGCCTGCTCCTTACGCGGCCCTTACGCGGCCACGCCGCCAGCTCCTACGCGGCCCCGCGCCGGCTCCTTACGCGGCCCCTCCCCGGCCCCTACGCGGCTCCGCGCCGACTCCTACGCGGCTCTTACGCGGCCCCGCGCCGGCCCCCCCCCTTACGCGGCCCTGACGCGGCCACGCCGCCGGCTCCTACGCGGCCCCGCGCCGGCTCTCACGCGGCCCCGCAGCTGGCTCCTACTCGGCCCCGCAGCCGGCCCCTTAAGCGGCCCCACCGCCGGCCTCCTACTCGGCCCTGCCCCGGCTCCTATCACGGCCCCGCCCCGGCTCCTTCGCGGCCCTGCCCCGGCTCCTACGCGGCCCTACCGCCGGCCCTGACGCGGCCCCGCCCCGTCTCACTTCTACGCGACCCGAGCCGCCTGTCGCCGAGCAGCCCGGGACCCGAGCCGCCCTGCAGCCGAGCCGCCCGGGAGCCGAGCCGCCCTGCACCCGAGCCGCCCTGCAGCCGAGCCGCCCGGGAGCCGAGCCGCCCTGCACCCGAGCCGCCCTGCCGTCGAGCCGCCCGGGAGCCGATCCGCTGTACACCCGAGCCGCCCGGTCGCCGTTCAGCTTTTCTGTCGAGCTGCGCGACCTGCCCTGCCTGGTGAGCACAGTCCCACTGTCACTGCGTGCTCTCCCCCCTACTGCTTGCACTGCTTCACAGTCGTCGTCATGGCTACCCCTAGTGTCCTAGCTTTTGACGCTGAGGGTCGCGCCATTGATTTTGAGGTCTGGCTAGACGACCTGCAGCTGTTCTTACAGTGCGACAGGGCTGATGACCTTTCTCTCTTTGACCTCACCTCTGGCGCCTCTCCTGCTCCTGCTGCTGATGCTGGTCCCGCTGTCCGCTCTAAGTGGGCCACCCGCGATGCTGCTGCACGTCTTGCTGTGCGTCGCCACCTCCCTACCTCTGAGCGTGCGCACTTTAGTCAGTACAAGAGTGCTCGGACCTTGTACGACGCTGTAGTTGCGCGCTACTCCTCCCCTGCCACTGCTGCACTGAGCCGTCTCATGCTTCCCTACCTCTTTCCTGACCTCTCTGCCTTTCCCACTGTCGCTGACCTCATTACGCACCTCCGCACTAGTGACACTCGCTACCGCGCCGCCCTTCCTGCTGAGTTCTGCGCTAAGAACCCCCCCCCCATGTACATCGCTCTCTACTACGTAGTCGCACGCCTCCCTGACTCCCTTCGCGTCGTCAGGGACCACTTTCTCGCAGTCTGTCCCACCACTCTCACCGTCGACCTCCTCGAGAAGGCCCTCCTTGCAGCGGAGAAGAGCATAGTCGCTGTAGGTGCTTCTCGTGGTGACCCTCGCACCCCCATCTTTGAGGGGTGCTCTCCTTCCCCCTTGCTGCCCTCTGTTGCCTCTGCTGCTGCTGCCGACCTGCTTGGTCTTGAGTCGGTCGGCGCGGCGTCTGCCCCTGGTGGGAGACGTCGCTCCAGCAAGGGCAAGGGAGGCAAGGGCGCGGGTGGAGCTGGGGGGGGCGGTGGCGGTGGCGGTGGTGGCTGCGGAGGGAGTGGGGGTGGCGGCGGGACTAGTGGCGGGGGTGGTGGTGGTGGTGGTGGCAGCAGCGGCGGAGACGGTGGTGGTGGTGCCAGCAGTGGTGGTGGAGGCAGCGGCGGAGGTGGAGGCGGCGGAGGTGGAGGCAGTGGAGGCGGCAGCGGCGGAGGCAGTTGTGGTGGAGGAGGTGGAGCTGGTCGGGGTGGTACCCAGCAGCGTAGCGGCGGTGGTGGTGGCCAGCGCTCGCACCGGCAGCAGCAGCAGCGCTCACGGGACATCCCTTCGCCTCAGCAGCTTCGTGAGTGGTACGCTAGGCGTCAGAGGGGTGGGGGTACTGGTCCCTGCACCTACGTTCTTCGTTCCGGCGACCGCGCGGGTGAGCAATGTGGGGGTGCCCACGCCACCCAGCGCTGCTTTGGCCGCCTGACGGACGCTTGGCGTCAGCAGTTCCCTGGGGCTAGTGAGATCCCTCGCTGGGATGAGCTTCTCAGGGCTGGAGTAGCGATCTTTGATCTTGATTTTGATGCTATCCTTACTGCTATGTATGTTGTGGATTATAGTGAGGAGAATGAGGGTTACCGGTGTTACCTCATCTCGCGTCTGTACTGCTTGCCCCTGAGGGAGACCCGGATGCACTAGACATCCCGACTCTGCGTTCTTACGCGGAGGCCGTAGAGGGCCCCTACTCCTCTCAGTGGCAGGCAGCCATGGATGCAGAGATGGCTTCCTGGAAGTCCACAGGCACCTACGTTGACGCGGTTCCCCCTCCTGGGGCGAACATCGTCAGTGGCATGTGGATCTTCAGGGTGAAGCGGCCGCCGGGCTCTCCACCTGTCTTCAAGGCACGGTACGTTGCTCGTGGCTTCAGTCAGCGGCAGGGAGTTGACTACTTTCAGACCTTCTCTCCCACCCCGAAGATGACTACTCTTTGGGTGCTGCTGCACATAGCCGCTCAGCGCGACTACGAGCTTCACTCTCTCGACTTCAGCACTGCGTTCTTGCAGGGTAGCCTGCACGAGGAGATCTGGCTTCGCCGTCCACCTGGCTTCACTGGGACTTTCCCTCCTGGCACCCAGTGGAGCCTCAGACGGCCAGTCTACGGTCTCCGCCAGGCACCGCGTGAGTGGCACGACACACTGAGGACTACGCTTGCGGCTCTTGGGTTTGCTCCTTCTACTGCTGACCCGTCGCTGTTTCTTCGCACCGACACTTCCCTGCCGCCGTTCTACATCCTCGTGTACGTCGACGACTTGGTCTTTGCCACAGCGGACACTGCTGGACTCGCCGACGTGAAGTCCGAGCTGCTGAAGAGACACACGTGCACAGACCTGGGTGAACTGCGCAGCTACCTTGGCTTGCAGATCACTCGGGACAGAGCACGCCGCACCATTACCTTGACTCAGTCACACATGGTGCAGCAGGTCCTTCAGCGCTTCGGCTTCACGTACTCCTCGCCTCAGGCCACTCCTCTGCCTACTCGCCACTCACTCTCAGCTCTGCCTTCGGATGAGTCCGTAGAGTCGAGTGGTCCGTATGCAGAGCTTGTTGGCTGCCTCATGTACCTGATGACCTGCACACGACCTGACCTTGCATATCCTCTGAGCATTCTTGCACGCTATGTTGCTCCTGGGAGACACAGACCGGAGCACATGGCTGCAGCGAAGAGGGTATTGCGCTACCTGTGCAGTACGTCAGGCATGGGGCTAGTGCTTGGAGGGCGGAGTCCAGTGGTCCTTACCGGCCACGCGGACGCTTCTTGGGCTGACGACCAGGCTACGCAGCGGTCGTCACAGGGTTACACCTTCAGCCTTGGTTCCGGCTCTGTCTCGTGGCGGTCTACTCGCTCGTCTTCGGTTCTCGGCTCCAGTTGTGAGGCTGAGATCTACGCCGGAGCCATGGCTGCACAGGAGCTTCGCTGGCTCACCTACCTGCTGACTGACCTTGGAGAGCCGCCTCGTTCTCCTCCAGTGCTGTACGTAGACAACAAGGCTATGCTGGCCTTGTGTCGAGAGCAGCGCTTGGAGCACAGAACGAAGCACATTGCTCTCCGCTACTTCCTTGCTCGTGAGTTGCAGCAGCGTGGTCAGTTGCGACTTGCGTACGTGGCCTCTGAGGCCAACACTGCTGATGTGTTCACCAAGGCACTTGCGCCTTGTGACCATCAGCGCTTCTGCACCCAGCTGGGTCTTGTGCCTGTCTTGCCTCACTTGCTCTCCTCTTGACTTTACTTGTACTGTGACATATATATATACCTGCTCTTGCTTGTCTAGTTTTATATATATATGTCTGTACTCTTGCTTGTGAACTGGCCTTTGGCCTTGCTCTTGTGCTCGGACTGTGTGGTGACTTTGTGATCCACCCTGAGCTTTGCTTTGTCTTGCTTGACTGGTCTTGTGACCCCTTGTTCTCCCCCACTTTGCCTATGGGGGTGTGTCAGAACATATCTATAGCTTATACTGCTGTGTAGGCTGTAGTGGGGTATCCCATAGGGGGTACAACCAAGTTAGGGTTTCATATTTGTACTGCTTTCATTCATAGTTCACCCCATTCCTGCTTACTCATTTACACAGTGCGCATCTCTCAGCCCAGTCTCCAAACCCGCGCAGATATTATGATCCGTCGAGTGCCTGCGCCGGTACATGCGCGCACGCAAGTGGCATGTGCATCGCTCCCAGTGCATGCTGCGCGACCAGCGCGTCCCGCATGAGATTTCATGAGTGCCTACACTTGCACGCGCATACCTACATTCGTTCGCACGTACGTACATTCATACGCACGCTCGCACCTGCATGAAAACGTAGTTTCATAAGTATTTTCCACTTTCCAGCTGAGTATTTTCCGCTTTTGTTCCCCTTTTCCGGCATTTACGCATTGGTCGGTCTTAAGTTTTGTCGTGTCCACGTGGTTTGTATTACTGTTTTCTTGCATTTGTACAGGTCGTCTGCAAGCGTCACGGAACGCTGTGCGTCGGAGATTCTGCCAGGGTTCGTGGTGAGGTTATCCCCACTGCTTCCTCTGCATGTGGCTCACGCCAGTCAATTACTTGATACTGGTTTTGCGTTTGCTTTTATTTCCTGGATGTTTTGCAGGTAGCTTACTTTTCACCCAGTGGCGGAGAACAGTTTGGTTGAAGCTGTAAGTGAACTCTCCAATTTTGCTTCTGTTTTTGTTCTCTGACGTTGCTCTTATTGTGCAGCTCCTAGTTCCGTATGACCCCTATGTGTCGTGGATGTAACAGGAAGCTTGTTCCTTGGATGCTTGTTGACAATTTCTGTGTTATGTAAATCAAATGTTGTGTGTACATCTTTTCATTGTAAAGATGATTTGAAACATGCTAATAAAAGAGTAATGAAAAACATCAATAGCATGGTTGATTTATACGAATTGTGTTTTGTAATGATTATATTATACGTCTGTTCTGAACCCTACGTATTTTCCGCAAGTGTTACTACTACGAGGTAACTCGGTAACGTTTTGAACGTTTATGATTTATCATAATTATACAAGCTTTCTCAGAATCACTGTACCAAATCGTAACCAGTTTCGTAACTGAGAAACATAACAGTTGGCATAGCTTTCGAGCAAGCTCGCTAACATTTTCGTTTTAGACTCTTCGACAAATCCGATTGGCTTGCGACTGTTAGTACGATCAGAATGCCAGGAATAGGTGCAAGACACGTGTCCTGGATTGTTCTCGTCATGTTCATAGCTACGCGAGAGTAGCTTCGAGAATCTGGCGATGTGCGGTCCAGATCAAATTTCAATGTTATGTACAAGAGAAACCAGAATGAGAGTTACGCTGAAGTAGCTTCATCTCCTTCGAGATGTGCCGCACAGATTCGTCGCAAATTTTTCATTGTAATGTCGCGAGCCCAACAGCAGCTTCAACGTAACCTTGCCAGCAACCCCAAGGTAGCACCCTCCAAACCAACCCCAGAGCTACCGCAAAGTTGCTTTGCGGTAGCTTTCAGAAGCCCTTTTTTTTGCGATGAGCTCTCCTCTATGGAAGGCTCCCTCTTTTCCTCCTCTTCCTTGAACCCTTCCGGATTGCCCGCAGCTTGCGTAACTAATGTTCCCGGACGACCATTTCTCTCACCCCCTCCCATTGTGGGCCTCCTTTGTCTCTTAAACAGCTCCTCTCACTCTGGGAGCTTCGCACTCAAGCCTCCGTTTTATTCTCCCGCTCTCTTCGCCCTTTATCTCTCCGCCTCTCCAGATGGTTGAGAATATTTTCCGGTGTACAGGGGGAAACCGACGTAGGAAAGAAGTCTGTTTGCTGGGGAATGCAAAATTAGGTCACATCACAGCATTCTTTCCTGCATGAAAAATGCACTGTAAACGAGGATGCTGAAACAAGGCCCTCACCAATTTGAACAGAGCCGTCTGCACAAGGGGTGTCTGGTTCTTCTGTTCCAGCTGCGAAACCGAGAACGAAAACCGATACCTTCAGCGAATTCAAGTCCAACCATCGCGAAGGTTGTTTTGTGCGCCAGCAGCACATCAACATCTACCCCTGGGATTCGCGAAGCTTTTCGTTATGCGAAACTGGCTGTGCGTGCTCACGATCGCGCGACGTGGTTCGCAAGGGTGTCCGATTTGAACCTACGGCCCCAGATGGCTGGACGTGAGCAAGGATGTCCTGCCTTATTGGCGATTGTAACGAAATTGTAACCACGCTGCAAAAAACGACAGGTTTATCATTCGCGAAATTGAGGCAGCTTTCGGTGGGACGTGGCCAGGACAGACGAAAATAACCACCAGAACCCCGATCAACATAACTGGGCACCTCGCAAACAACCACCGACATTATGTAAATTAGGTGCACATGAGTCGAACTGCCGAAAGGCAATGCGAGCGTTTTGCGATGGACGAGCGGATAGGAGCCGTAGTTCATAAACAGATACCGGAATCCCAGCAGGTGACGGATTCTGAGACGGTAACGGATTCTGACCAGGCTCGGGAAACGACTCTCGAGCAGTCGTCTGGCCAGGGACGGGATACGGGTCAGGCAGTTAAAGCGGAGAAAAAGAAGCTTCCCCGCCCTCGCTCGTCCTCGGCGAAACGGAAACCGCAGGAGAAAGGGAAGGCAAAGGAGCGAGCGAACGAGCAGCAGCTGGAGGAGGAGCAGTCTAGAGCAGAACGAGAAAAGGTTGTGCCTGATCGGCCGGTGTCAGGAGTTTGGTCAACGACAGAGGAAGCTTCATTGCTGACTGCCGAGCAGATACGGCAGGATAGGGAAGCGAACGGTCAGCAGGAAGAAGGGAAGCAGTCTAGAGCGGAACCACAGAAGGTAGTGGCAGGTCGGCCGGCAACAGGGCAAGCCGCAGAGCTGACAGCCGAGCAACTACGGCAGCACACGGAGCGAATCAAAGGGCCGCAACCCCAGGACCTTGCTGCGCTACGCGCCAGCCCTCGCCGCCCAAGCAGTCCCGGCTTGTCGTCTAACGTGAGCGTTCGGCAGCTGAGGTCTCTCTTCGAACAGTCCAAGACCGGAGGAGTAAGAACCGCCGGAGCAGCGGGGCCGGTTCGAAAAGCGAGTAAGGCCAGCAAGAGCAGCAAGAGCACCGTCAGCGGCAGCGGCGGCGGCGGCGGCGGCGGCGGCGGCGGCGGCGGCGGCGGCAACGCGAACGTGAAGGCTGTCCGGCGTAGCGTCAGCAGCGGCGCCACTACAGACACAGATTCCTCAGACGCATTGGGTAGTAGTGGTAACCCTAACGCTGCGAACGGTAGAATGAAGAGAGATGGGTCGCTTAGAACGGGGTCCGTTCTCGGTCCCGCAGACAGAGCGTCCCCGAGACGGAAAGGGCAACCCGCAGGGTCAAACTTGGGTAATTCCCCCCATGCTATGAAGAGCCAGGTGCAGAAGCGGCAGCAGGGGAAGCAGGCGTTGCAGGGACTGCCGAACTCACCCTGTCATGTGCCGACGAGCTCGAGCACGAGCACGAGCAGAGGAGGAGACGATGGGTGCGGGTTGGGAGAGGCTTCGAGACGTCTGGATGAGGAGTGTTTGGGAAATGACGGTGCGAGTTGCAGGGAGGCTGGGGCTGAAGCAAGCGGGGAAGACGAAGGAGTGGAATGCGGTGCTTGTGGCGTTTTAATGGGTGGTGAGCCGAGCAGGGAGGGTTTTGCATCAGGGTGTGACAATAACGGGTTGGACTGCAGCGGGGGGAGCAGGAGAAATGGCAATGGCGAGGGAAACAGCAGCAGCAGAGGGAAACGAGCAACGGGGAAGGGAAGGCAGGCGTTTGGAACGGCCACGCTTCTTTCTGATGCGGTTGAGATGGATACAGATGGGGAGGGACATGGAGGGGAGAGACGGCTGGGGGTGACCTTCGAAAGCACAGAAGGAGAAGAGGAGATGGGCGCAGGGGAAACCGTTGTCCTCGTTATAGGGAGCGGAAATACTGGCCTTACCTCAGGGGTTGTGATGACTCCAGGCAGAACGAGGCGGAAGAGAGAGGGTGGGAGGACGGGGGGGCGAGGGAGAGGAGGAGGTGCGGGCATGGGGCAAGGTAGGGTGAGAGGGACGGTGGGGGAGAGGATACGACAGCTGGAGATAGCAGCAGCAAGCGCGGCTGCTGCTGCAGGCGTGGGGAGGGGGGCGATGGTCGGGAGGAAAGGGAGAGGAGGAGCGGCAGGAGTTGCTGCTGCTGCTGGTGGTGGTGCTGGTGGCAGGGTGAATGCTCGTAGAGAGTGGGGCCCCAAGGGGAGAAAAGCAGCGATGCTTGCTGCTGGGGAGACAGGAGGAGCAGGGATTGGCAGTGGGAAGCGGAAAGACCACGAAATTAGGGAGGATGGGGACGGGGATGGGGAGGGAGAGGGGGGGTGTATTGGGGAGGATGGACTGGGAAAGGGCTCGGGTGATGGATTGGGGGATGTACCTGTGCTGACTGTGGGAGGAGCAGACAACCGGGCGGTTCTTGAGGGTGCTGTTGTGAGTGTTGCTACCGTCCGTGGTGCTGGTACACGCGGGGCGGCAAGGGGGAGAAAGGGAGGGAAGAAGGGGAGTGGTATGGGAGCAAGGCGGTTGTCTGGAGCAGGATGGTCGTCGGGAGGAGAGGGGGAGGGCAAGAGGAGCAGGGGGAAGGGCGGTGGTGGTGGTGAGAAGGAATCAGTGGGGGTGGAATGCTGGAGCATACAATGCCAACCCCCTTCTGCAACGAATTTGCTGCCGTTTTGGTGGGTGGTGAAAAGGAGGAGCGAACCTCCATGGAACCTACCTGCCATAGTTCCAGTGTCCCACGGTCCACATCCTAGCCTAAGGTTGAACATTTACTCATGCCTAACCCTCCCCCCACTGCCCCCGCCCCCATACCATGCCAACCCCAGCAGCAGAGGATCAGCTTCCGTTTTGGGCGGCAGACTCGTTCTCCTTCCCCTACATCACGCCAGCCACTCCCCTTCTGACACGTGGCAGCACCAGGAAGCGATTCTTTGCCGCTGATCTCTCCGTCGCTGCTGACGTGGCATCATCCAGTGGCCAATCAGACGATCCCGCCCCTGGAGCCATCTACTTCCCTCGCCGTCTCCCCCTCCTCTACTCCTCCTCCTCCCCTCCCTTCCCTCCTCCTCCTCCTCCTCCTCCTCGTCCTCACAGCTCCCCCCATTCCTCTCCTTCCTTCCCCCCTCCCCTCCTCAAACCACAGCAACCGAACCCCCAATCTGCATGGCTCGTTCGTTCACCTTCAACTATGGCTTTTCCATGAATGTTTCCCCGTCTCAAGGGCTCGCATTCGTTATAAGCACACATGCGAGTGTGGGCCTAGCCGGGGCTTATATGGGGTACGGCCGGGACCCATCCTCGCGACTCACTAACGGCAGCTGGCCAGACGGCGCGCGGAGTGTAGCTGTGCTATGGCACCCACAGGCTGTAACAAACCCGGAAACTGATGATCCAAATGCTTATCACATAGGCGTTAACACCGATTTCAACATGACTTCGATTTTCGAGGAGGAGGTGTCAAATGTGGTGGAGGCAGAGGAGGTGTTGCAGATGAGGGTTGACTATCACGGGAGGAGCAAGGAGATGCTGATCAGATGGTACCAACCCCCTGTTCTAGTAGGCAGCATGAAAGTCTCCCTTGACCTCTGTGCTGCTCTCACTGGGGGCCCTGACACAAGCACAAGCAGCAGCGGCGGCACTGGTAGCGGCAGCAGCAGCAACAGCAGAAACACCAGCACCACCACCACAAGTGGCAGCAGCAGCAGCAGTGACAGCAGCAGTGCAACGGACCTATGGTCGCCATCGTTCGGGCAGCTGGTCGTTGGGTTCACCAGCGCTGCCCTCCCTCCCCCCCCTGGCCGCCTGCCTTCCCCCGTCGCCCTCTCCTCCTGGACCTTCCGATTCACAGGTAGGGGGGAGGGGAATGGGTCGAGATGGGGGGGAGGGAAAGAGGGGAGGGGTAGCAAGCCAGGATTTAGGGTTTCGAGTTTATCGTTAAGGGCTTAGGGGTAGCAAGCCAGGATTTAGGGTTTCGAGTTTATCGTTAAGGGCTTAGGGGTAGCAAGCCAGGATTTAGGGTTTCGAGTTTATCGTTAAGGGCTTAGGGGTAGCAAGCCAGGATTTAGGGTTTCGAGTTTATCGTTAAGGGCTTAGGGGTAGCAAGCCAGGATTTAGGGTTTCGAGTTTATCGTTAAGGGCTTAGGGGTAGCAAGCCAGGATTTAGGGTTTCGAGTTTATCGTTAAGGGCTTAGGGGTAGCAAGCCAGGATTTCGGGTTTCGAGTTTATCGTTAAGGGCTTAGGGGTAGCAAGCCAGGATTTAGGGTTTCGAGTTTATCGTTAAGGGCTTAGGGGTAGCAAGCCAGGATTTAGGGTTTCGAGTTTATTGTTAAGGGCTTAGGGGTAGCAAGCCAGGATTTAGGGTTTCGAGTTTATCGTTAAGGGCTTAGGGGTAGCAAGCCACATGCCCTGCCCCTGTCACCCTCTCCTCCTGGACCTTCCGATTCACAGGTAGGGAGAGGGGAAGGGGGGGAGCTGGGGGGGAGGGAAGGAAGGGGAGGGGTAGCAAGCCACGTGCCTGCTCTGAAGAGGTAGGAAGAGGGGAGGGAGGATTTTCGTTATTGTAACCCCACGAACCCCCGCGTATCCCCTGCAACGCCTCTCCAGTGCTCCTCTGTTCCATGGTTGCATGCTTCAAGGCATTTGCTGTCTCATACCTGGACCTCTCTCTCCTCCTGCCTCATACCTCCGCACACTCCCCCTTCCCATCCTCCTCCCCCCCCTCCCTTCCCCCTTCCCCCCGCTCCCCCAACAGACACCGACCCCTGCAAGGCCTCTCCCGTGCAGCCCTGTGGCACGGGCGTGTGCACCAAGGCACGTGCCCCGTGGGACCCGTCTATCCTCGTGCCCTCCTGCAAGTGCCCCTTGAAGCTCCCCTCCTTCCAACCCTCCCACCTTGCCGGCCTGCCCTCCTGCTTCCCTGGTGAGCCGTGGACTGAGGTAGGCAAGAGGCGGAGAGCGGTAGGTGGGTGAGAGGTGGAGTGTGGTAGGTGAGAGGTGGAGTGCAGTAGGTGAGAAGTGGAGTGCAGTAGGTGAGAGGTGGAGTGCAGTAGGTGAGAGGTGGAGTGCGGTAGGTTAGAGGTGGAGCATGGTGGGTGAGAGGCAGAGTGTGGTGGGTGAGCATTTGGTAGTGAGGCAAGCCCAATTGGTCATGCACATCCCAGGGGCACATGGGATGTGCATCAATGGTATCCTAGTCTGCTGCTCACGCACTTGATATAAGTAGAGTTGTGAGACGTCTCAAAACTCTACCTTTATCCCATGTGCCCTTTGGGATGTGCATCAATGGTGTCCTAGTCTGCTGCTCACTCACTCTTGCTCTCTTCCCACTCTGCTTCCCCGATTGTCTTTCCCCTTCCCTCGCCCTCCCTAAACCAGATTCCTTCACATGTCGCCAGTTCCCCCGCAACCCGTGTGCCCCGGGGGTGTGCATTGATGACATAGATGGCACCTACTCCTGCCTCTGCCCCTCGCCCTACTTCCCCTTCTACTTTTACCCCAAAGGCGCTGCCCGCTGTTACCATTGTGCGTACCACATGGTCAGATGGTCTTAAACAAGGTTTGATTTTCAGCTCATGCCTCTGACCCCTCGCCTACCCCCTCTTCTCACACACACCCCTCACACGTCACCGCTCTCACACGTCACCGCTCTCACACGTCACCGCTCTCACACGCCCCACTGTCATACGCCCAACTCTCACATGCCCCTCTCTCACATGCCCCTCTCTCACATGTGTGCCTGTTCTATCTCAGCCCATCCGATGGCTCTTATCGTCATGGCTCTCATCACATGCACCTCGTATTTTGAGACATTTCAAAACGCTACTTCTATCACATGGCCCATCCGATAGCTCTTATCGTCATGGCTCTCATCACATCACATGGACCTCGTGTCTCCTGTGTTTACTTCTTATGGGCTCATCACGTGGACTTATATCGTTCTCGTTATTACCCCATGCATGCCTACCCCATGCATGCCTACCCCATGCATGCCTACCCCGTGCATGCCTACCCCCCGTGCATGCAGTGCGATTGGCTGAGACTCGAATGCCCACCTTCCTGTCGCCCTACGGCCTCACATGCGCGCTCATCCTCAACACCTACGGGCTCACCCAAGCAGACTTCTTCAGCCAAAACAAGGTCTGACATTGGACTGAAGGAAGGTTCAAGCTGTAGATTGATTGGGGTCAGGACATTCCATGTCCCATGCCCGCTCATCCTCAACAATTATGGGCTCACCCAAGCAGACTTCTTCAACCAAAACAAGCTCAGGAGGGCTTTGGTGGGCTTTGGTTAAAGGGGCTGTGTTTAGTTCAGCTCAGCACATTCATCTCACAGCACAATCATCTCGCAGCACATTGTGTGGCATCGCATCACATCACATCACATGCTCTCTCATCCTCAACTCAACACCTATGGGCTCTCCCAAGCGGAATTCTGGAGCCAAAACAAGGTCCGTCTGAAAGCTCAATATTTCCCCTTTCTGGTCACGGCACAGCCACACTTCCCCTCATCGCCACACATTGCCCTTCAGTTTCTCTCACTTCCCCTCTCTGCCCCTCACTTCAACTCAATTCCCCTCGCTTCCACCCACCCCCCCTCACTTTCTCTCACTGCTCCTCACTTTCCGCTCATTCTTCCCACCACCCATTCGGCCTGCCTCGTTCGAATCTCTCCTTGTAACAGCAGAGCGTCCAAACCCATACCCCCCTTCCCGTCTTGCCTGTTTAGTGTTTCTTTTCTGTCAGATACCCATGTTCTGACCAATCCTCTCCTCTATGTCTCCTTGTTCTGACTGCAGGGGTTCCAGTGCCGAGCGCCCATCCCTGTAGGCACTCTTGTTAACGTCACCAGCCGGGCTTTCTCCCAATGCACTGCCATGTACACTGCTAATTATGTAAGTGCCGGTGTGTTGAAGTAGTTTCCAGTGCCTTATTCCAAGTTCCAGTGCGCTTATCCAAGTGCCAGTGCGTTTGTGTAAACCCCAGTGTGTTTATGTAAGCGCCTTTGAGCCTAATCTCAAAACTTAACCCCGCTTCACTGCTCACTCTGAATCGCCACCTGTGTTTGCATTTCCCACTTCCTCCATCTGCCCCTTCCCTCCACGTGCCTTCTCCCTCCACGTGCCTTCTCCCTTCAAACCCCCTCGTCTCTTTCCCAGACACTCACTCGCCTATTTCCCTGTGTGCCGGCAGGGTGACACGTGACTCACGCAACGCCCTCTTCTCCACGCAGATACAGCCACTCAACTCAATCCTTCCAGTAACCACGCTTCCTCTTCCACTCCTCCTATACCTGACATGTGTGTGCAGGGCGACACGTGTGACTCACTCAACGCCCTCTTCTCCACGCAGATACAGCCACTCAACTCAATCCTTCCAGTAACCACGCTTCCTCTTCCACTCCTCCTATACCTGACATGCGTGTGCAGGGTGACACGTGTGACTCACGCAACGCCCTCTTCTCCACGCAGTTACAGCCACTCAACTCAATCCTTCCAGTAACCACGCTTCCTCTTCCACTCCTCCTATACCTGACATGCGTGTGCAGGGTGACACGTGTGACTCACTCAACGCCCTCTTCTCCACGCAGATACAGCCGCTCAACCCCGCCCTCACCTGCTCTGATGGGCCCAGACCCGGCCAGGTGAGCATCGGTGCAGATGGGTGCAAGTGAGTTAGGTGAGGGCACGTGAGTGTGGATGCAGGTGCAGGTGAGTGCTTGTGGTTGCAGGTATGTGTTGGTGGGTCTCGGGGGGTGTAGGTGGGTGTTGGTGAGCGTAGGTGGGTCGAGGTGGGTGTAGGTGGGTGAAGGTGAGTGTAGATGGCTGACAAGAATGCAGGTGCGCTGGTAACAGAAGCTGCTGCAATGACAGGTTGTTAGGGTAGTTTGTTCTCCAAAGTCTCAGAACCCGATCTCACATCATTTCACACATTCCTCTCCCCACTCCCCCTCTTCTCCCCCTTCTCCCCCCTCTCCCCCATTCTCCTCCCTCCCTCCTTCCCAGCTCCTCTGTGTATCCCTCAACCAGACGTGGCTAGAAGAGGGAATGACCCGCATATCATGCAAGCTCCAGGCCCAAATCACCCCAGCCGTGACACAAACCCCGCCCACAACCTCACCCAGCCCTCAACCACCCCCTCCTCCTCCGCCTCTAGCCAACTACACGAGCGTAGGTGTGCTCGTGACGGTCCTCCAGGGCCCGCAGACCTGCCAGCAGCTGTGGCGGGCGTTTGCCATCGCCTCCCCCACGCGCTTCTTCCAGATGAACCCCGGCCTCTCGTGCGACTCGCTGCTGCCGCACAGCCCCCTGCAGGGCAACATGATGAGAAGGGTGAGTTGGGCTGGGAGGGTGAGAGTCGAGCGGTTGCGGGTGTGAGTTGTGGGCTGAGGGAGGAGCAAGAAGTCCGATGCGCTTCTTCCAGTTGAATCTTGACCTCTTGTGCGACTCGCTGCTGCCCTACAGCCCCCTGCAGGGCAACATGATGAGAAGGGTGAGTTGGGCTGGGAGGGTGAGAGTCGAGCGGTTGCGGGTGTGAGTTGTGGGCTGAGGGAGGAGCAAGAAGTCCGATGCGCTTCTTCCAGTTGAATCTTGACCTCTTGTGCGACTCGCTGCTGCCGCACAGCCCCCTGCAGGGCAACATGATGAGAAGGGTGAGTTGGGCTGGGAGGGTGAGAGTCGAGCGGTTGCGGGTGTGAGTTGTGGGCTGAGGGAGGAGCAAGAAGTCCGATGCGCTTCTTCCAGTTGAATCTTGACCTCTTGTGCGACTCGCTGCTGCCCTACAGCCCCCTGCAGGGCAACATGATGAGAAGGGTGAGTTGGGCTGGGAGGGTGAGAGTCGAGCGGTTGCGGGTGTGAGTTGTGGGCTGAGGGAGGAGCAAGAAGTCCGATGCGCTTCTTCCAGTTGAATCTTGACCTCTTGTGCGACTCGCTGCTGCCCTACAGCCCCCTGCAGGGCAATATGATGAGAAGGGTGAGTCGGGAAGGTCTGTGTGTGGGGTGGAGTGGAAGGAGGTTATACGCTATACGCTGCAAATAGTACCTGTGCTTGTGCCTGTGCCTGTGTCTGGTGCCGCTGTCGATGTCTTGCCTCTGTCTCTGTCTCTGCCTCTGTGTGTGAAGGTTATTCAATGCAGTTTATTTTTCTTCCCCTTCCATCCTGTTCCTCACTGATGGTTGACTCACAGATTTGTGTGGCTAGTGTTGACGGCCGGCCGTTATCTGGCAATACATGTTCAACCAAGCGATTGTACAGTGTGAAGCGCGGAGATACATGCGGCATGTTGATCACCAAGAGATACCGTCGCAAGATTGACATGTTTAGGAATCTTAACAATGGGTATGATTGTACTGTAAATAGGTTGTGGACTGGCTTGTTGCTTTGTTTACCGTAAATAGAATCATATATCATGTGGAGAAACATCAAGCAGGAGGGAAGGGAGGGGCTGCTGATTCCAACCTGCTTGGTGTCTGTGCCCTATCACCACACCAGCTCATTGCTTCTTCCCCCAAGACAATACAACATCTCAACCTTGAAGGTTTAAAAACAATAGATAATAACAGAGGACCATGGTACTAGGATGCAGAAAGTGGACAACAAGAGTGATAATAACGAGAAGCGAGTGAAAACCCCTCCATGACCCCCCCGAAGGGCCCCCTACCCCCCAACGCCCCTCACAGCCCCCCTCACAGCCCCCCCACACAGCCCCCCATACACACCCCCCCCCAACACAGCCCTCCCCCCCCCCCCCACACAGCCCCCTCAAATCGCTTGGCTGGCCTGGCCGAGTCACACACAGGCACCACCTGCCAAAAGGCCATGTAGGCCTCACATCTGGCCTCTTTCCATCCGTCTCCCTGTCCCTGCTTCTCTCTCATTGTCTTCCATTCCTGTTTCTGTCGGCTGTTGGTGTGTCCCTCTCCCTGTCCCTGCTGCTTCTCTCCCTGTTTGTCTTCCATTTACGCTCTGTCCCTGACCTCGCTTCTGTCCCTGTTTGCCTTCCGTTTTTGTCCCTGTGTCTGTATTTGTCCCTGTTTCGGTCACTGTCACTGTATCTGTATCTGTATTTGGCCCAATCAGACCTCCTCCCCCTCCCCCCCCTCCCGGACCTAGGCCGAACCGACCCTACCTCCCCGAGCCTGGCCAGGACGGACCTGGCCAGACTAGCTCATGTGTGATGTTACATACAAGCATACATATCAAAAACTCCTAATGACTCCTATTATTCTATCTTTATCATCGCATCTTCGAGGCTGGCACCAGAGAGGTGAATGGGAGAGTTCAAGCAGCAGCGAGCCGACCCTCACCTGGCTGTGCTGAGCCTCTCACCCAGCTGTGCCGAGCCTCTCACCCAGCTGTGCCGAGCCTCTCACCACGCCTGGCTGTGCCGAGCCTCTCACCACGCCTGGCTGTGCCAACCCTCGCCTGGCTGTGCCGAGCCTCACACGTGCCTGTGCCGAGCCTATTGTCATCATATCAATAACTTGTATCATTCCACACATTGTAAGGGAATATCGTCATGGCGTCCATAGGAGAAAACAGGGAGAGGAGAAACAGGGAGAGAGGAAACGGGAATAGGGGTTACGCTACGCTACGGGGGAGCAAGGGGAGGCGGCAGGGGGAAAAGCGGAAAGGGGAACATGATGCACAAGGAGAACGGGAACGGAAAAAGAATGGGCGAGATCAATGCGTTACAGAGTTACCACAAGGTGCGCGAAGGAGAGGAAACGAAAGCGAGGGCTGGAAACGGAGAGGGGAGCGAGAGTGATCGGGGTGGGAAGGGGGGAGGGAAGCGGAGGGTAGGGGAAAGAGATAAAGAGCCGGGAGAGAGAGGGGAGAGGGCATAGAGGAGAGAGAGGGGATGAGGGAAATGCGGAAATGGCGGGGAGGGGCGCGGATCAGGGTGGAAAAGGAGTAGTTGCGGAAGAGGGGAAGGGGAAGGGAGGGGGATGGCGCGAGGGGACAGAAACTCAGTGGCGGGGGGAAGGGGGTAAACAGAAATTCTCGAGATGTTTGGAAAGGGGCTCACGCTCATGAAGCGCGAAAGCGCTCCGACCTTCCGCCTGCAGCGCGGAAGCGCTCCGACCTTCCGCCTGCACCGCGGAAGCGCTCCGACCTTCCGCCTGCACCGCGGAAGCGCTCCGACCTTCCGCCTGCAGCGCGGAAGCGCTCCGACCTTCCGCCTGCAGCGCGGAAGCGCTCCGACCTTCCGCCTGCAGCGCGGAAGCGCTCCGACCTGCCGCCTGCAGCACGGAAGCGCTCCGACCTTCCGCCTGCACCGCGGAAGCGCTCCGACCTTCCGCCTGCACCGCGGAAGCGCTCCGACCTTCCGCCTGCAGCGCGGAAGCGCTCCGACCTTCCGCCTGCAGCGCGGAAGCGCTCCGACCTTCCGCCTGCAGCGCGGAAGCGCTCCGACCTTCCGCCTGCAGCGCGGAAGCGCTCCGACCTTCCGCCTGCAGCGCGGAAGCGCTCCGACCTTCCGCCTGCACCGCGGAAGCGCTCCGACCTTCCGCCTGCACCGCGGAAGCGCTCCGACCTTCCGCCTGCACCGCGGAAGCGCTCCGACCTTCCGCCTGCAGCGCGGAAGCGCTCCGACCTTCCGCCTGCAGCGCGGAAGCGCTCCGACCTTCCGCCTGCAGCGCGGAAGCGCTCCGACCTTCCGCCTGCAGCGCGGAAGCGCTCCGACCTTCCGCCTGCAGCGCGGAAGCGCTCCGACCTTCCGCTTGCAGTGCGGAAGCGCTCCGAACTTCCGCCTGCCTGCAGCGCGGTGGTGCATGGCTGCATGGCTCGACGTGCTCTTGTCGCTGCCCCTGCTGATGCGCGGAAACTCGCCGTTCTTCCGCCTGCAGCGCGGAAACGGGCATGTACTGAGAAAAATGGGTACTTGAAACTAGGGCTTTGAAAAGAAGAGAGGGAAGCTACCAAAACACCAAAATACAGTTTTCTAATATCGAAGGGCAGTCAAACCAAACTCAACACAGTTCAAACCCCGGTTTCTCCCCACCCTCGCGCCCTCGGCTTTGTGTCTGTTGACGACGCGCCTCTGCACGCATTCGATGCTTTCAATGCGGGCTCTCAAACACGCGCGGGGGAACGTCAGCAGCAGAAGCAGAAGCAGGCTGTTGCTCCTTCTCTTCCTCCTTCCCTTCCTGTTCGCCTGCTCCTGCCGATTCCGCTGCAATCTCCACGCCAGCAAATGTCTCAGAATAGAGCAGAGGCATGTCAGCCTGCAGCACAAGTGCGCGACATAAACAAACGGAAATTAATCACTCAAGCACATATTCCTTTCTTTCTTCCCTTGTCGCAAAAAGGAAAACAGATTATAAGAAGGCGGGTGGAGAAAGGGAACGTGTGTGAGTGTATCAAATGGGTAGATATACCTGCAGTTGCTCCAGCGCGCGTTGCTTCGCGTTCACTTACCCTCCAGCTCCTTCACGCGCTTCTCTCCTTCTTCTACCGCCAGCAAGAACGACTCCGTGCGACTCTGCTGAGCCTGCGACCCGCTGTCGTCGCCTGTCGCAACCACGTCATCCCTCGCTAGTACGGATGTGACTGTAACGAAGCGAGACGACGTGGAGCGATGAACGGGAAAAGCGGAGGAGGAGAAACGAAGCCCGGAGATGCTTCCTGGAAGGAGGTCTGATCGGCCAGCTGCAGCAAACACCAGTTCAAACTCCGATTCCTCCCCACCCTCGCGCGCTTGGCTTTGAAGCTGCTGAAGACGCCACTCGGAAAGCACTGAAACAGTCGTTTCAGAGGGAAACAATTAACCAAACTGAGACCTTTCAAACGGAGGCGCTTCAAGGAGAGGCGGAGGGATATGCGAGGGAATCGGCGTTTGGATCGGAAGTGGGGTTTGACGGGCAAACTGGCTTCTGGAGATGACGTGTGAGCCACCCACCTGATTCCGTCCGGACTCTGGTTTGCATTCGTAAAAGGCAATATCCGCGCGAGCGGGGCGGCGAAACGAAACCGCTGGAAGCGCGAGGGATGACGACCATCTAAATCTAACGGGCGCGAGGCGCGCGAGGCGCACGAACAAACGCGAGCTGAGCTCCTACTAAGTCGAATGGCACTACATCGATTTTCCGTGGGTGAAGTGATCGTGACGTGAGAATAGAGGAGGTGGAGCGTGGGGTTGGAGGAGAGGAGGGGAGGGAGGCTTGGCGACCCGACATCCAACCGAACCAACCTCCAGGTAACGCAAGCAAGTTTACAGTTTGACCCCACCCCACCCACAAAACATTCTGAAACATGCAGGGCAGGAAGAATTTTAACTGAAGCGCAAATCGTACGACAGAAGCAGATGGAAACGAGATGGAAATGGGAGCCCCCCACGTAAACAATACTGTACCATGTGGGTGGGACGGATTAAATATATTTTCCCAAGGCAAAAACAGAATATGAAGCACCTCACAAGCCCACTAACAAACCCACGCGGCTCGATCACTCGAGCCGTGGGTGGGTATAGTCAAGCTGTAAAATCGGGAATCAGGCAGCGCCTAATTTGACCAATCACACCTGAAACGGGTGTGCCTCAAGAAAATTTTACATCGCGCTCCAGTTCAAGCGATTCGATTTACAGCCGCCGTGACTTACGGTTAGGCAGATAATTTCGACAAAAGCATACTTGCAATTATCTAACAAACCATTTGAAAAACAAGGTGTGCTGGTTTGTAATAACGATATATTCACAATTAGATTATTTAAAACAAAGGATGTATTGTAAATGCATGAACTAACCATATAGAGATCATATAACCGTATCTTGATCTATAATTATGTAATATTCATAAGCGCATATACTATTACATCAGAGTCAATTTATATAATATATTAGTCCTAATACGACTCTACATCTTTTCACTCAAAAAAAACACTTCTAATTATTTATTCTTCCTGCGAAATGACTTGTGTATAATTATTTTTATACCTGATGTTCTGTTTCTTTTACTTATTGATAAATGCACCAGTTTTTTATCAACGCTTGAAGATAATGCGGACTTGGAGGTTCACGATCACTCGGGCCCTTGAATCATTTTACAATCGTGAACTGGTCGCTGAATTGTAAATTCGCTTCGACCGGATCCGCTGGTCTGGCGACCTTGAACAGACGGTTACAATGCGACAATCACACGTCGACAGTCGTCGAACCAATGAGATCTCTAGTCAAACTGTTCTGCCTACGTGTGTTTCGCAGGAGGCGAGGGTTGACGGTGGCGTCAATTGGAAATTGTCGTGCACCACTGTCGCACCTCAACACTTTGAGGGTCCAGATTCGTGTCGCACGACTTTTACCCAGCTGTTATGTTCCACTTGGGCTGGGTTGGTAGCGTGAGCGCTTACGACTGTTTGGGCAATGGAGGTGTGCACTTTGCGATTTTGTTTTCTCAATATACCGAACTGTAGTGAGTGTCCCCCCCCCCCACCCATCCCTCTCACCCTGCTTGTTTCTGAGCTGTTTATTTCGCACAAGTCATTTTTTTGCTAATCTGCATTGCTCGTTCGGTGTTTAGCTAAAACAGTATATTTTTTTCGCCACTCTTCTTGCCTGTCCTGTCTGTTTCGGGCAGACTGGATGGTTTGCGAGCTTCACAGAGGAGAGTGCTTGGCTGGGTACACGTGTCCCGTCTGCTGCCCCATTCATTTCAGCGCGCTTGGCTGAAACGGTTGAAAACGGTTGCATCGTTCTCAACGTTTGAGCCAACCACCTGATTCCGGCCCGGACTCTGGTTTGCGGTTTGCATTCGGACACATCTGGGACTGGAGCTAGATGGCCTGGATATGAGAGAAAAATATCAAAAGACACTACCGACGTGGCATAATCGTGGCTGTTCAAAAGACACTACTGACGATAGCAGGAAACGTGTTAACATCGAGGTCGTCGAAAGCAAGCTGCGTTTATTTCCTGATTTCGTTAGCACAACATCTTTTCACTTAACGACTGAAGTTACCAGGCTGCGTGTCGATATTTTATTGGCTGACGAAAAGGTCAGTGTGTCTTATTTCGCTACAAGCCCAGGGCACGTGCACCCGCGGAAATTCACAGGCAACCTGTTCTTGTGCTGTGCACAGTGCCTCACCAGCCTCCCCGAACCGAACAAGGTGTGCACGCTTCAACCTCCGCTGCTTTCGTCGGGTAGCCATCCACGTGGGAACGGTGCTGCAGCGCTCCATTCCAAATCCAAGAATGTGGGACCCTTGAATCGTTCTCAACTACGTTTTCTTCCTGTACCGTTCGAAACCGTACTGAAACCCCATCGAAATCTGAAGCCTACGTCCTTCACAAATGATATCGCTAACATGCTAGCAACATCCCAGCAACCCATTTTCGCGACTACTTGCGCTGCCGTAGTAGATCGTCGACTACGGCTCCAGATTAGGTCATCGAAGTCCGCGAAGGCACACTGCGCGCACAGACTACGACGATCCTTGTGCTATCCGGACTGCCAGTGCTATCCGCAAAAAACATATGATGTGCTATGATTCTAGCAAAAATCCGATTGTGAGTCACACCGCGGCGACTCTGCATAGCGATGCGCGCACGGCTTTAGAGCCCCTGATTCTGCCATGCCGCGCCGCTCCTCCGCTTCGGCCACGCTGCTCCTCTGTCTCCCTCTCACTGCTTCCGCCACCGCTGCGGCTAGTAATTATGTTAGCCGCGCTCCGAGCGGTTAGCGCGTTCGTTGCACAGGAGCAGCGGCGTGATTGGGGGCAGCGCCGAACAGCAGAGCGGGGAAGCGAGCAGGCCGACTATCGCAGAAGCAGAAGGGCATGGTGCGCGATCATCGCGCGATCAGGCGACTTCCGCTCATGATGTCGCGCGGCAGAGTTTTTGCATCCGATGCAAGGCATTTCCGAGGCCGCCTGCCCGACTCCGTGAGGACCTGCGCAGGTGCGGCGACGACTGAGGCAGGTGAGGCGAGTGAGGGGAGTGAGGCGAGTGGGTTGGATCTTCATTGCTTTTGCTCTCTCCGCCTTTGCTCTCATCGCATGAGTCATGCCTGCCATCACTTGCACTTCAACCTTCTGCTCCCCGTGTCTTGTCAACTTGCTGCCGTCCGCCCTCCCAGGAGCAGCAGCGGAGCAACACGCACCAGGGGCAGCAGCGGCAGCAGCAGCCGCAGCAGGCGTAGAACCTTCATAAAATGGTCTGCGGCATGGGAAGGGGCGGCGGAAGGCGGCATGTGAATTGGCGGCATGGTAAAGGGGCGTCGGGATGGGAAATGAGCGGAGGCATGGGAAGTCTCCCACTTCACCCCTCCCTCCTCCGCCCTCTCCTCTCACTCCACCCCCTCCTCCTCCACTCTCGCCCCTCTCGTTCAAGCATCTTCACGGCATGTCTGGAGCTGATTGCAGCACACGGAAGAGCAGTGAGTGTAGCAGTGAGGGGGGGAGGGAGGTCCTTGGGCAGCGGCAGCAGTAGCTGCCGCTGCCACTGCTGCTGCTGCACCAGCGTGCTGCTACAACTGCCGGTGCAGCCGCATCAAGTCCTGTCAACACCCCTGCCCAATCCCTTTCCAGCCAAGAACCACAGCAACCAGCTACAGCAGGCCGGCTCTCAGCAGCAGCAGCAGTTGCATCAAGAGCAGCTGAACGTTTGCAGCAATTGCAGTAGCACACAATTGCAATACTGCTAAGCATTATACAAAGCAATATGTTTTTATATTGCATTGGTTGTCCGTAGCCCTTGTCAGCATTGTTAGCATATTTTCTTTCTTTTTGTTCGTTTGTGTTTCACGTGATTCATTGCGCCACGAGTTTTGAACAAATGTTTGTTGCGG